TTGTGCACACTGAACTGAGGTACAATTAAGGCAGCCACAGCCAGCGCTCTCTTCTATGGGATTTATGTTCACAAGCGTTACGTCCCGTGGTGTGTTGTCTGGAGTCGACATATTGGAATTGCTGACTTCTGGGTTTCCTCGTTCAGAAGCAGCTCCCTAGCAGCCGGTCTTACATGTCGCTATCCAGACTTCATTTGACCTACTGTCCTGCTGTCCAGTATTCGGAACAGGGTGGTGTTCGAAAAAAAAAAAAAAAACCCGGTGGTTTGGTGGTCCGGTTTACCCTTATTTTGTGAATCACCAAACGAAGTCTGTCCAGTCAAAAATTTCCCGGTTCTGGATTTCTCGGGACCAAGATCCGGTTCCCATGGAGAAATATTCCCTCATCGCAGTTCATGATTTCTTCCGTAGCATCCTTACAAATGTTCATGTCCATCGCGTTGCTTGCTGAGAACTCCTCATCTTCATTCAATACCACGTTGGTGCCAAAGATCTCCATCGAAGAAGTGTCGCACTCTACATCCGTCACCAAATTACTGGGAGCCCCTGTGATGGCCTATAATCGTCCCGTGAACTCACCCTTCTTGCCAGTGGTAGAAATACCCCGTGCCTTACGCTCCTTCAGATTTATCACCTTCATCGCTGCCATTGCCAAACGCGGGGCAGGGCGAACAGGGGAACTAACGTCAGTTGGGAGCAAGATTAGGATAGCCTCCCTCAGATCTTCAAGTCATTGCTAAGCCTATTACTTCACAGCCTTCAGTCTCTGTTTCTGTCAGCGCCCTGCTTGTATTGCAGTTCGAATTTATTCCACTACAAGATGTCCCTGCACAATATTGTTTCAATTCAGCCGCTTACTTCGTTTGAAGCGCCCGCAATCCAAAGTCTTTCGGGACCACAGTGCATCCGGGAATCAAACATTCGCTTTTTCTAACCACTAAATGTCTTACCGTTGAGCTTTTGCGCCATCTGCCGAGAAAAGCCACGGGCTATATGGTGTTGCGGGTCGCACATGCGCACAGCTGAGCCAAGCACTCAGAGACTGTTCGCACTCGGGGCACAACCCCCGGTGGCATGTCAACGCTGGCCATAACCCAAGCAGCACGGATTTTGGCCAAGCAATGGCTAGTGGCTGGGGATGGTCTTGTGGCCAGTGGTCAAATAGTGGCCCTTCATTGGCCAATGCTTGGCCGATGGCTGATGGCCAGTGGCCATTGGCCAATGGCCAGAGAAAAGTCAGTCATCGGCCAATCTCTGGCCACTGTCTGGCCACTGGCTAAAGGGCCATTGCCGGCCATTGGCCAATGCTTGGCCAACTCTGTGCTGGGGCCCTAATCTGGACACTTGGTGGAAAAGTCGGCGAGAAATTTGGCGGCTCTGATTGGCCGGCGCCAAGGTCAAGTGTGGCGTTGGCCAATCGGGGCCGCCAAATTTCTCGCCGTCGTTTTCGCCAAGCGTCCAGCTTAGGGCCCCTGCTTGGGATACTTGAAGCATAGTCGCTTTTCTCCTTAGCAGTAGGCTGTAGAGATTTATCTTTGTCAAACGTTAAAGCTGTGAAAAACCTGACAACCACTGGAATAAGGACACAGCTGATTTTAAATTAATATGTAGTTTCATGGATTGTGTTATTTTTCAATTTGATTAAAATAAAATATCTCGCCTTTTGACTGTTTTCTTTTTTTTAAATTTGGGGCAACCGTAACCGTAAACCCACAACTTGAGGTACAGCAATAAACGAACTTCGAGTGTCACACGAGGATAAAAAATGCGGGTAAGCCTGGGATTTATGCTTTATAGTAATCATCTATCCCTGCTATCTGGCGTGCTAGACGCGACGCCAGATAGCACGGCTTCTACCAGCAGGTGGTGCATCAGGTACGCAAGGGCACGCGCTCCTCTCGTTCGTTTCGTTTTGTTAGGCACTGTACACGGACTTTCAACGCCAAACGTGGTGCCGGACAGCTTCTACTTAGTACATCTGGCGGAGCAGATCGACCAAGTACAACCAGTTTGTGCTTCGTAAATTTTACTACTCATCGACACATCCAATTTAAGTAAGGGTGAGACCCATGTTTTCCAAAAGCTTACACCAGAATTATGGTGAAAAAACTGATGCCCATTAAACTCATCCGTTCATCAAGGGTATGCCACACATTGGTAAAGTGTAATAAACCCATTTCTAGTGGCTGGTGTGCTTTTCAATTCAGCATAGATGGAATAGGTAACGGCCATACGAATAACTCTTTTAGGCCACGTAGTACAAGTCTAAGTGCTAGCTTTAATTATGAGCTTCCCTTGCTTTAGGAGTTGTTTCTGAATTAAGCACTGTCGCTAAACATGAAACATTTCTAGTAAACAAAAACACCCATCGAATGTGAAAATGCCTGCCTGGACGTCGGTTACGAAGAAAATGCGATTACAATTAAGAAAAAAAACGTATTTAGGATTCGCACAGCTTGCAGACTTTATGAGAGTAGGCGTACTAAGCAGAACAAAGGTCATCTTTAGAGTTCTTTGAGTGTTTTAACAGGCATATATACATTTTAAATGGTCGTTAAAGGGGCGATGCAACAATTTTTGTTCTTTGCGCAAATACTGCTTAAAACGGATCCCTGACGTAATGACCTATGAAACACACGTTCGTTTTTCACCCCACGCAAAGGAAGTTCCAAACAAAAACTTAAAGAAAAACGAGCACCGTTCACCCCCTCAACTTGCAGCCAGAACCAGCGGCCACGTCATCTGGAGCTGATTATATGCCGCCAATGTTAATCCTAGCCACGCGCTGGGGTTGGCAAAGCACAGGACACGCGCTGAGTTGCAGACATTGTTATGGCTCGGCTATTGTGGTCGTTGCAGCGATTGGACAGGGGCCACTACCCGAATGCATGTCGAGGCATCGATTGTCACGAGCCTAGATCGAATCCGTACGCAGTCTTCGCGTCCGCTGTGTGAGCAGCATTTTAATGTCGGCACCGCAACGCTCGATGACGCATTCCCGGGGATCGTAATGTTGCCATTGTCCTCACAGCTCCGTCATCAAATTTCGCGAAGGAGCAAAAGGCGGCTTTGGAAGGAGAGACTGAGAGAAAAGCTCCGCTTTCATCCTTTGAATTCCGCCGCGACGAAGACGCTTCCTGGTCAGTGGTGTTGCGTTCGAGTATTCTTGGGTCCCACTAATGCCAGGAAGCTTGTGTAAAGAAAGAAATATTCCTACGCAATGTCGTTGCACAGCCCCTTTAAATTGTGTCAGTCAATTGCATTTGTATTTTGTCCCCACTATTGTATTGGTTAACCTAATATTAGAAGAATTATCCTTTAAAAGGCCGATCACCGATCTTTCCCCGCTATCAAATACTGATAACAAGATATATAAGAACCCTCGCCATAATTTCTTCTAGTGTAAAAAATATAATACGCAGCTCACATTTCTATTTCATAAGTGTTTTTTGGGAGCTGCAAAAACTACAATGAGCGAAATTACAAAGTATACATACTGAATCGTTTCATGTACAGCTTACGTATGACGTGCTTTTATAGAGAAAGGTAGCTCGCAAACTGACCAATTACGCAAAAAGTATGTAAAACACTTCACAGTAAAGTAAGTAAAACATGTCACGAGTCTAAAACTGCATTGCAAATGCATGAGTTTTTTGTTGAATGCTGCGACTATGTCACTAAAATTAAGCTTAGGAGGGCCGAGGGAATGCAAAATATGACTAAAGCTATATAAACTAGTTAACTCATTTATCAGGAACACAATCCTCGAAATATCAGGCACGTGGAAGACAATGTTGAGTTGCCCTATTTTAGACTTACTAGATGTCGTGTATTTAAAACGCTAGGTTTCATGCTTGTTGAATCATAAAAATTACAGTGTGAGAAAACTATCCACAACTCATACCTTTATATTATGCCTGATCTCGATCATACAGTCAGTTAAAACAACTCCTGAAAAGAAAATGTTTTGTTTAAACGGTCTAGTTGGGCCGGCGTGTCGACAAATTAATTTCACAAGAAAACAAATTTTTTAGAGCAATACTGACGGCGCGAGACGCGATTTAATCGGTAGTCACCTCCTTTCCATTAATTTTCCCTCTCAGCGTTTCGGGCCGGTGGAGGGGAGTTGGATCGGCTGGGCCATCACGTTGAGGTGGAGAGCGTATGACCATCTCGTTGAGGTGGAAAGACCGTATGACCATCTCGTTGAGGTCGAAAAAGCGTAGGACCATTCCGTGACGTCATGAACTATGCGCGCAAAACTTAAAATAAATCTCGCGCCGTCATAATTGCACTGAATATTTTTTCCCGTAAAATTAATTTTTCGATAAGACTGTCCCAACCAGACTGCTTAAAAAAAACTTTATTTTCTTTTCATGAACCATTTAGGTTTTAAGTGTTTATTATTCGGGAGGGATAAAATTTACAGCCGTTTAGCGCTTTCTAATAATTTGTATTAATATTTTCACTTCGAGGAGATGCTCCATTCTTTCCGAAGGAGGTGCTCCATTCCAGAATTTTCAAACAGACATGGTGTCACTGTGCAACTCGATGCTAACGCACAATTATATCTTTTAAGTAAAACAATTGAATAAAACTCGTCATGGATGAAGAAAGAATAAACCATTAAAACAGGGACAACACAACCACATCTTTCAAAATTGAAAGATGTGGTTGTGTTGTCCCTGTTTTAATGGTTTATTCTTTCTTCATCCATGACTTAAACCAACACGCTCTTCTACCAAGAATAAAACTCGGTAAGCTTTTTTTTTTTTTTTTCAAGATTTTTTATTCTTGAAATGAAAGCTACTCCTGATGGTCTGCAAGCTTCGTCACATTAAGCGTTTTCAGAGCGTTTTTATAAAGATGCAGCCTATACTGCAGCTTAAGTAATGCAGAAAACAAAATTAGTATTCGTTTTGAATGTAACCCTTAATTGTGCTCTGACTAACAAAAAAGAAGTATGCTAATAAAGGAAACAAATTTGATTGAGGTCTGACCTGAGGGATGACCGTGAGTGAAGTGCGCAGCCTCCGCAGGGGTACTCTACGAATATCGATACCATCGATGCAAATGTTGCCGCTCGTGGGTTTCAGTACCCTCAGAAGAGCCAGGACTAGCGACGATTTACCGGCTCCTGTTCTTCCGACCACACCGACCTATGGGGCCAAACACCAGGGTCTTATACACGCACTACCTCCTAGTCATTAGGTGAAGTAGTTCAGCAATCGCATTTTAGCCAAATGTCGTGCCTAATAGGGAGTTATTGTTTTCCTATAACTCTCCACGCAAATCGCTTGTGTCAGGTTAAATAAAATCGTCGAATAATGTTTCCCCTAAAATAATACGTATCTCTATTAGCTAATACGGTACCTAGCGTCTATTTTGGTGACAAATCATAAAGCGCTGAGAACTTTAGTTGTGTTATAGTTTTTACATTGTAAAATAATGATACTCTTAATTCACCTCTTCCGAAAACTTTGTTTTGGTACCAACTGGAATCGTTGGAGACGCACTGATAAAATGTGACTATTAATAGTGATACAGATATTATAAACTGAATGTACTGTGCAGTTAAGGATAACACGCTGGTGTGAATATAATATAAATACATTGGGTTTTATGATAGTCACAGTGTGTGAATATTTACAATAGTTACACCTAAACTAAATCTGCCCTGATGCAGGTTAAAGACAAAATAATTTAAAATATAATAAACTTTGATTATATAATTGGAATATTCTTAGATTTCAAAAAGGCGTTTGATTCAATTAAGCACCGAATTCTACTACAAAATTTGGAGTCACTTGGAATCAGAGGCAATGCGCTGGAAATAATTCGTAGTTCATCCCGTTTTCAATATGCAACACTACGTGGTTTTAAGGCGGAGTTGGCACCCATTAGATACGGTGCTCCACAAAGCTCTCTTCTTGGGCCTTTATTATTTCTTTATATATAAACGACATTGTGACTATACCTCAATCACGCGATATTATTTTATATGCTGATGATTCGAAAGTCTTTTTTTTAAGTAGAGACCTGCTTCACCTCGAACAAGTCACCAATAACTGGCTAGAAAATTTATCTGTGTGGTTAAAATATAGTCAATTGCTTCTAAATGTTAGTAAAACAAAATATATTATCTTTAGATCAGAAAATAGACCAGTTTCCTACGACTTAAATATTTGTTTCGAAGGATCGAACGCACAAATTTTTTGGTGTCTTGTTTGAAGAAACCCTAAGTTGAACTCCCCACATTGAGAAAGTGAAAATCTGATTTTCAAGAGCAGTAGGGTCATTAAATAAACTCCGAAAGTATTTACCAAAGCGGTTAAAGTTACGACTGTACTATACACTTATTTATTCACGACTGCAATATTGTATAATAGTATGAAGCAGAACTACAAAAAAAATTAGAAAATTACTTATACTGTAAAAAAAGGCCGTTCGATTAATTGCAAACCTTCAAAAGTTTGATCACTCAGTGCCACCTTTTCGGGAGTATAAGATAATGACTGCAGAGCAAATTAGGACCCTAAAACTAGCAATCAATGTTTTAACAAGATAAAAAAAATCAATCACTATTTTTTAGCATGCATCCAAAAAAAACGGAAAAAAACGATGTAGTCATTACGTAAAAAGCAAAGCTCGTACAAATTATGGCTTCCAGCAACTTTCATATATAATTTTAGACACATTGAATACACACCCTATCACAACTCAAATGGTGCAAAACAACGGTTCCTTTCGGACATTCAAACATAACCTTCTAACTTATATTTTAAGTCTCTCATGATCTGCAGTTCGTATCCCGGGTGTTGGGTTGCATTCATTTATATTTTCTACATATGCCCATTGGCGATAGAATTTATTTCAGTGATTGTTTTGTCTTCTTCTGAGTGCTGTAAAAAGAACTTGGAGCTGGGGTACCGTCAGAAGACAAGTTTGTCTTCCCTTATCCCAGCCCCCCATACTTCTCTTCTGTCTGAAATAAAGACTACATTTACTAATTTACATTTGCACTTACTAAACATTATTTGAAACGTGGAGCGAAGAAAGGGACTGTAAAGGTTGTATTTTGCTTTAACAGTGTGATACTGAGAAACGGATTGTTGAGAAGTTAACATTAAGACATTGCATGCTTTGGTGAAGATATCACTGCCACGGTAAATGGAGGTAAAAGCTAGATTTTGACACTTCGCGCGAGACTCAGGTCCTTGTTCATATTCCCAGTCTCTGGGTCAGCTGCATCTTCTTCAAGATACTCGTGAGAAACAAATTTGGGCGACCATAAGACTCGTCCAGTCAGGTATCGCATTTTATCATTTTATCAAAATAAGTTTAAACTACGGGATTGTTATTGTAAGAAACAGCTCCAACTACAAATCGAAATTATCTGCCAAAACAACAATGTGGACCTTCAGATTCTTTGTTACAACATGCATCGATGGCTTGTGACAGTGAGCACAGCATTGTCGGCACTTTCACAATATGCTGAAGCGTACAGGAGCAAGCACTCATCAAAGCACCTTCTGCTGTGGTTGAATTACGAATGTAATCCCTTTCAAGACGTTCGTCAGGAAACCTGGTCGGTAGGATGCACAGAAGTCGTTGAATTGCACTTGACCTGCTTTGGGCCAGTTTTCATCAATATGGCTTGAAGTGCTTAATTTCAAATCCTGGGATCCGCTTTTCTCGTCGATGTCATCCTGCAATATTTTATCAACAGAATATTTATAATAAATTTCCGACGCTTAGGGTTTGCAGCAATAATTGTAGACTCACCTCACTAGGGAGTTCAGTATACTGCAAGCCACGCTCAAAACAAACCAACAACTGTGGCCCGAGAAACAGAACCATACTGAAGGAGACAATAGTTTGTGGTATCTGTGATTGAAAGAAAAGAACATTATAGTTGAATGTAATATATTTGATCAAGAATGCCTTTTTATGTACTCCCTAGTATTTTAGCAACAAAGATACGAGAAAATAAACTGTTTAAAGTGAGACTTAAAACAAAGAAAAACTTTACAAGTTTATGTTAGAATAAAAACTACACATAAACTAGTCTACTGCCTAAAACGTATGGCTTTTTGTAGCAACTAGAGGCAGGACCTGCCTCTCAACTTTATGCTCTGTCAAGAAAACTGCTGCGACAGCTCTTGATAAAAATTAACAAAAAAAATATATCATGACAGAGTGTTTAGAGGACGTAACACAATTAATCAAATCCTCTGTGCGTGATTAATATTACAATTTTTTTTATAATTTTGTTTAAGTTCGGTTTGAATCACTTTTCCCTTTGTAAAGCTTACGCCCGGAGGATAGAGTAAAGTGAAACGAACAAAGGTATAAATAACTTTATTATGTTTTTTCACTCAATGTAGTCGCATTAGTTTGATAACAAATGCTCCACAAATTTCTTGGCTTGGTGATTCCTGGGGGGCGTGGGGAAAGGGTAATATTTAGAAGCTCAAGAAAAATAGTATTAAAATACCTGTACCACTTAGTTAATTGAGCGGGACAATCTTTTGGTGTTAACATCGTTTTTGACTGTCATGTAACTCGTGATTCGCATTCTAGGAGCAACGTATTTTCACTGCCCAAGAAGCAAAATAGCAAGGTATAATATGCGGATATTCATGTTACAACATGAATATCCTTCACCTGTATACAATTTGATCGGGGAAATTGTTAGCTTCATAACAATAAGTTCGAAAGCACGGATCGCATTCAGTATGCAAATATTTTAGCCGAACCTCCAGTGCAGCAGGAACCAAATAGATTTGTGCGCCTATTTTACAATTTGTAACAATGGTTTTAGCGCTTCAATGTTCACGTACATCGACAAAGCAATCTGATGTCATGGCGAAAAGAAATGTATAACGATCGAATACTTCTTCAGACCCCTGTACCTTGCTCAAAAATACATTACTTGAACATAAAGGTTTTATTGTTGACATTGAAGTAAACAATGGAAACAGTGTTTACATTGAAGATTTGAAGAAACAAGATGGTGCATAGTACATTTATATGCAGCTAATAGGTGCATCGGAATATATAGAAAAATGTATTTTCGAAGCACGTAATTATTTCTTTCCTTTTCTATATGCAATCCGAAGCAACGAAAGTTACTTAAAACACAAATTGATGGCGATAATTATATTCATAAACGTTATAATGGGAGTGGTAGGGATTCGTGTCGTGTCGCTGTAAGGTGCCGTCTTCAGCTAAATTTATCGGGCTCAATTTCTGCTAAATGTAGCCTGTTAACATAGCTCATTTGCCATTTAATGGAAGGTTAATGTTTGTCAAAATGTAATGGTTTTATGTTTTCAGCTTTATTTAGGTCTCTAAGGTTCAAATGAATTTACCGGACAAACTTGTTTAAGCAAATTGAGCGGACTAACGTCCAGTTACGTTAAGCGGGAAACCATGATTGGTTCATTGTGCACGGTCCTTTGCGTGGCGATCAGGTTTCCGCATATCGTATATCGCAAATGTATTCTGCGTACAGAACGTTGGAGCGGTAGTTCCAAGGAGGGCTTTGGTTTTTGTAAGGGTCTTTGTTTTCACTTATCATTTCATCACCCTTTTCCATTCAGGTACTTTATACATTATTTACGTGCGACATTTTTTATGTGCAACGTAGGCTAAACTAAGGTCACTTCAGGAGAGGAATCACGTGGAGATGCTAAGTGTCAGCTACCTAGTCATTGACGGGCAGTGTGTGTGAGGGAAGTAAAGGTTATAAAACACGAAGGTGACAAGTGATGTCACGAGGGTCACCAGTGACGTCATGAGGGTCACCATTGACGTCACGAGGGCCACGAATGGCGTCATGAGGGTCGCCAGTGATGTCACGAGTATCACCAGTGACGTCACGAGGGTCATGATGACGTCACGAGGGTCACGAGTGACGTCACGAGTCAAGAATATTTACGTCGTGAGAGAAGAAAAAATGAGACATTTACAATTCTCTGTAGTGCCGAACTAGAGCGCAGCTCTTGAGGAGGAAGAGGGGAGGGAGGTATGCCCGTGGGATTTCAGGAGGGTGACTTCACTTGTGACCCTCATGAAATCACACGGGCATACGCTCCCCCCTCCTCCTCAAGAGTTGTGCTCTAAATCCACATTACAGAGAGTTTTAAACGTCTTTAATTTTTTTTATTTACGACGTAAATATTGTTAACTCGTGACGTCACGCGTGACCCTCGTGACGTCACACGTTACCCTCGTGACGTCATTTGTCACCCTCGTGACATATCATGTGACGTCACTTGTGACGTCACGCGGTTACGCTGACGCCGACGGCAACGCCAACAGCGACGCCGCTAAACCCGGAGACGGCCCTTGAGAAGCGGAGGGTATGCCCGCGTGATTTCACGAGGGTGACATCACTTGTGACCCTTGTGACGTCACACGGGAGCTCGTGACGTCACACGTGACCCTCGTGACGTCACACTTGACCCTCGTAACGTCACATGTGACCCTCCTGATGTCACTCGTGACGCTCGTGACGTCATACGTGACTTTCGTGACGTCCCTCGTTACCCTCGTGACGTCATTCGTGGTCCTTGGGAGTCACACGTGACGCTCGTTACGTCACTTGTGACTCGTGACGTCACACATGAACCTCGTGACGGCACTGGTAACAATCGTTACGTCATTCGTGGCCCTCGTGATGTCACTGGTGACCCTTGTGACATCACTCGTCACCCTCATGACGTCACACGTGACGTCACGCGGTTACGCCTACACCGACGCCACTCAGCCCGGAAACAGGTGCTTAGAGCTGCGCTCTAAAAAATACAATTGTACTAGCTTAATCCTTTAAGCAAGAACTGGGTACCGCAAAGTGTTGTGAATGAGCTGGGCACATGCTATAAGTGTGTGCGTGATGTCACGTAACGTCATGAGAACACATGATCGTGACGTCACACGAAGCCATCGCATGCCGTAACGTCCTAAATGGGTGGCCTCACGACGTCACGGGACGTCTTGGCTTCACGTAACGTCATTATGTAAAGTGCTATTTTGACGTCATAATTGACAATGTGGCGTCACAAAGTCACGGGACTACGTAACGTCACTGTGTCATTTATGACGTCATGGGACGTGGGAGTCCTTCATGGCGGTTTCTTCGTTGAAGTCTACTCATTACAAACATCGGATTGAAATATTCAGCTACATCGTGCAGGCGCTACAGAAACCACTCACCGACAGAGAGACGCTCAGCGCTAGGCCGAACTCACTGGACGACGTACCGTAGGAACGCCACAGGGTCGTCAGGATCGAGGTGAGAACGATCGTCAGGCCGAAGACATTGCCGAGCGTTCGAGTGAGTCGATAGCAGGCGCAGTACGTGGCATAGGCCTCTAAGTGGAAGTCCGTCAGCCGACAGAAGTGGCTGCAGAAGCGCTCCACCACGCCGTAGCTCCGCAGGATGCTCAGGGATTCCACAGACTCGGTCACATGTTGCAGAACCCGCGACATCCGGGAGGTCTCCACGAACCGCGCAGCATTTGCAGCTTGTAGGACGACCCACTGCGGTATGAAGCGCCGCTTTATTTGGAATACGGCTGGGCGTCGATTACAAAACTTTCGGCCCCCCTAATCGCAACCCCTTAATCATCTAGTTAATCAATTCATATGTTTCGTCGATTTCCTGGCATATTTAAAAGGAGGCAAAAATACGCTGCTTCGATTTACATTTCTTTTACTCTGTGATAAACGGCGCAATGTCTGCACATTTTAAATTAGGGATCAACTTTGATGTTTCTTTGAAAATTACAAGGAGGCATTCAGCTTATTTTTCCAGCTGTTGAAGCAGAAACATTCTTTCATGCACTCCGGCAGGGTTGAGCTTCTTTGCTCTTCACGTGCAAGCAATGTATTACATGGCTAGCATGTGACGACAGTCCGCTCTTCTTTCTGGTGGCAAGAAGTGACTCGTTAACGAAGCGGAAGTTCCTCTCTCGTGCGCCTTCTCTCTTAAGGTTGCCCCTTTTTCTGGTGGCAAGAAGCGTCTCGTTAACGCATGCGGAATCGGCCGTCTCAAGCGCCATTTTCCCCATTATGACGGGCCAAGTGACGTCGGTGCAAGCTGTAGATGGCGTCATCGCCACGTGCCACTTTTATAGAACTGAGCCCCGCGCCACTAACAATCTGAGTGTGTATGGAAGACGATAAAGTGATATGATTCTGTTCCACAAGCCGACATGACTGCTACGCGTCGTCGTGCTTGACACACGGAGTCAGTCCAAACAAGCGAAACAGTGCGTCGCTGTTTTGAAAACGTTCCTTGGGCACAAGACTTAAACTTCCGAGAAGATTTCTTGAAGGCTACAGAGGGACGAGAAATGTTACGAAGCTCAGTTTTATAAGGAAATTAGACATACCGGTTACACTTAGCGGTAGGACACTCGAACGCCTCGGTCTGATCATCCGCTTAGCAGTGGTTGGAAACAGTGACCACCTTCACGAAGCGGCTCGGCCTTATGAAGACGTCTTTCGTGGACCAGGCCAGCTTAAAGGTGTGGTATAGCACATGAAACGGAAGCCAGATTCGCATGAGGGGATCAAACCAACGAGAAGAGTTCCAGTCGCCCTTCAAGACCAAGTCAATGTCAGCTACAACGGATTGAAGCAGACGCTGTCATCATCAAGGTAACAGAATCAACATAGTTGTCAAGTTGCATGGTTGTTGCCAAAAAAAAGAAATGTCATAATATATTTGGACCCGTCACACGTCAACCAATCTCTCCTCAGATATCGACGTTGGAATACGTTGCGCCGAGCCTTAGCGAATAAAGGTACTTTCCATCACTTGATGCGGCCTCTGGGTTTTGGCAAATCAAGTTGGACGACGAGAGCTCCAGGATTTG